CGACAGCGGAGGCAGTTGTGGCGGCGGTGGTTTTCTCCACTCCCAACGGTCACACGTGGTGTTGGATTTTGCAAGGGGAGAGCAGGACGGTGACCTGGATCTGCGCCGGGGCAAGTAGAGGTTTTGTGAGCTTTTTTTAGTTCCACAGTTCATATAAATATCCTTTCCATATATGAATTTAAAATTTGTGAGCTTTTTTAAATCCATACACATCTTATAAATTTTAAAGCTCGCAATTTTGTGAACAAAAAATCTCACGGAACTAAGAAAAGCTCATAAATAAGTTCATGAAATCTAAAGAAAGGATATGAATTCACGAATGATGAACTTAAAAATGCTCACAAATTCACGACTTTATATGAATTTAAAATTTTGTTCACAAATTTTAAAAATTATCCGTGAAATTAAAGATGTCAATGGAACTAAAAAAACCTCGCAAATTCAATGCTATCGTCTATGTTTCAAAAAATGTGCATTTTTGAAAAACTCAAGATTATTTGAAAAATGTTCATCGTGTATTTAAAAATCTAATTGTATTTAGAATAATTCTGAAACAATGATCGTCGTGCAAAAAATGGACAATGGTCGCCAATGTAACCTACCTCTGCTTTCTATGGCGGTAGCAAAAAAAAACAGATCCGGCTAAACTTTTAAAGTGGAGTGAAATCGCGCTAAACTTTTGTCAAAAGGATAAAACAGTGATTTGGCAAACCCGAAAAAAGGCTAATGATTTTGGCCCATGCTGGCGACTCCTCCTTCTCAACTCTACCCGTCCCTTCCTGTTGTCGTGGACACCCCTAGTCTCAACTAGCAGGCGAAAGGCGCGGCGGCACGCCGCGCCAATGTATGAGCCCATTGTTGACTAAATTGCAACTTAATTTGTTGGTTGATCGTGTTTAGTTTTTGTAATTGTTTAAATTGTCAGGGTCGTTGACAGAATCTGGTGAGATACATACAAAGATGAAGGGAGGAGTACAATGAAGCGGATATAGGACAAAAAGATTATACACTTCATAAAGCGAAAATAACCAGATTTTCTAGCTTGATAGCTGTCGGCACATATTATCCTCCCGTGATTGCTCACTTCCACTTGTCCACTTTTGCTTATGATGTCGAACGCCGAAAAGTATTATAGATGCCAATATACTGAATGTTATCTATCGTTCACACATTTGATTTATTCTGTTAAAGCAAATAGAATTACTCAGTGTAGTAAGAAAGGAGAGCTGAAGGCTTTGAATATACAGAAGATAATGCAAAAACAATTCACTAACCTCAACTAAAGCTGACATGCCAAGTATTTCCCATATTTTCAGCATTCACTTGATATGGCGATCAGCTGACGCGGTAACAATTAGTAGAACATTATTCCTCCTTTGGACCATACATTGTAAAGCTACCAAGTATCGATGATGAACTCTTTGTATAGAAGAGGACACTATAATCAGAACAACATATGATGAACCTTCCTTTCTTTTGAAATTCCTCGTTCAGAAGATAAGATCATGAGCCGTTCATGCATTTGAACTATAACATGTGGCAAGTATACAGTACCTTTACTACATTGTGCATACCTCAAGTAGTCAAAAAAATTCTGGTTGCATATTATAAATGTTTGCTTTGTTGTATGTGGGAATGAAATGTAGCTCGCATACTCATCCCAATCCTCAGTGAAATGGAACTCGCATATTCATCCCAATCCTTATTCAACTAGACCCTCCGAAATAAAAATCACTGAAGTAGCTAAAGTGGGAAATTTTGTTGCTCCAGAAGAGCCTCTAGTTTTGAGTCAAATTTGTGCTTAGCTGGTCAACAATGGAAAATATGTGACTATTGCTCTTTATCAACCTCACATGGCTCATAGTAGTAGTGCCATGTTTCTTTCTCTCTATGTTGGGGCATACATTTTGTTGTCCTTTCCTTCTCACAAATTGTGTTATTGAAATTGGAGTTCGGAATCAGGATGTAGATACTAATTAATCAAACTCCCGCTGAATCATTGCGTCAGTATATAACATAGAGCAAGATACGACGTATATTTAGTGCAATGGTTAATGTCTATCATCTATATTATAGTTCCAAATGAGTGACCAATTTGAAATGAATTCACGGATTTTCCCCTCATATATGTCTATCACAAGTTTTCTCATGGATATTCATTCATGCAATATTTGACAACATTTTTAAAATGATAAAACAATTATGTTAGTCAAGCAACCTCGGTAAGCTAACTATAAACTATCAGTACTATTCCACAAGGGATAAGTATCAAATTAAACATGTGTGCATGCCTCCTTTCATAGGAAATTGGCGTATTTAAATGTATATCCTACAGAATCTGAAAAATTGTAGCCTCTGAAAGTGGCCAAAGATTACTTGCACCAACACACATTGGAAGTAGGGGCGGAGGCCCCAGAGAGAGAAAAAACTGCATGTGGTCGAATAGGAGGAAGATGTTACCAGAGTTGAAGTCGGGGCCGCGGCAGTCCCGAAGTGGAGGCGGTCGGCAAGGTGGAAACGACTGAGGCAAGGTGCTGGAGCCGGGGAGTCAGGGAGACGACCGAGGTAGGATGGGCGAGGTAGGTGAAATCAGTGAGGGTCGACGGAGGGGTGTCGAGTACTGGAGGGCGGCGAGGTTGCCGACTTTGTGGTGCTGGCTCCCATGGCCAGCGGGGAGAGGCATTGGCATAGATAGCATGATGGTGAGGTGAGGTGTGAGGCCATGATTTGACGCGGTCCATCCCAAGAAATCCATGCCAGTGACCATTCTCTCCCATAGCCAGCCAGGGATAGGCATGGTGAAGTAGCCGAGGTTGGGGG